ACGCGTCGTGGTTTCCTACCCTTCTCTCGTGCTCTCCCTACATCCCGCGTGTTTTGATCAGAGTATCAAACACGGAATTTCGTCTTTTATTCCTTAATTATTATTATAATTTAATAAATTGGTGTATTATGAAGACAGTATAGATCTATGATACATGCATGTGCCTTTTCCTCAGGGTAACTGTTGATGATATTCCAAGTTTGACAAAAAATCCAAGTAATTTCAATGTAGGAGAAGACTGGTAAGACTAAACTGTAGTTTACAGTCATGTACACCATAGTACTAAAAAGATGTTGAAATATTACAATATTATAAGAATAACTTTCATGATATACAGCAAGTCGATACACCCACCAGTGCTTTTTTCTATATTAAATTATTATAACTTGCAGTTGTTGCTTTCCTTCTTAGACTCAGTTTTCTGGCTCAAAAGTATAAAGTGTTAATTAAATTCAAAACATTTGCTTCTTTTGCTGGTCGATCATTGAAAAAAAATTCTGGTTAGCATTATACAAGTTGCACTGTCCTGTTGTTTTCAGTCCTGTTTTTTCAGGTTTATTTGAGTTTTGCTCAATCTATACTGGTGCATCATTAGAAGGCTCAGTAAGACTGAATCAAGGGGTAAGAATAATGTATTCCTTCTATTGTGTATTAATCTTACAGTCAATGCCAATAATATTGTTTAGTTGCAATTGACATTAAAGCTACGGTAATACGAGCAACAAATTCGTCCAACTTGTCTCGCAACATTGATGCAAAACAAGTTGGAAAGTGATGTTGCCCGTTTTACTATGCGCGTACCAACTTGTCTTGCGACAAAATGGCTTGTTGCAAGTTGAAAATTTTTTTTGCTGCAAGTAGAAGATGGTTCTACTTTTTGCAACAAAACTTGAAGATTAACCCAACTTGTTTCGCAGCAAAGTAACACCGTGCGACAATCAGCGAACTACATTGGACAATCAGAAATAAGGATTTGGTCAACCTGCATCAAATTATTTTGATGCGAGACAATTTGGTTCGCTAGGAATAAAACACGCAACATTGCTTTACAATTTGCTTTGAAGCAATGTTGCGAGACAAGTTGGACGAATTTGTTGCTTGTATTACCATACCTCAAGGTATCAGCGTACCCATGCAACCCCTACTCGCCTCATCGACTATAACCTTGTTGTTGTTTTGCAAATGCTCACAAAGTATATATTTTCTAAAATCTTAGTAAACTGTAGTTTATGCCTATAAATTTTWTTTCAATGCATTTAAAATTATGTTTAAAAGTTATTAGCTCCTTTATCTTAAACTACATACCTGTATAAAACAAACTCCAAGTCTGAAAGAATTTGCGATTTTTGATACGCGTTCTCGTTTTGATTTAATGTTGTAATAAAGTTTAGGAACGCAAAATTATGTCAAGTTCTTTAAAGAACCTTGAATAACTTTTGAAAAAAAGACGACTTATCAAAATTCCAGACACAATTTTGTTGATTAACTATCTGTAAACAAGGCTACGAAATTTGATTAAAATTGGTTGACGGGTATCTGACTTGGAGTTTAAAACGTATGCCCTACTTGCCGTAAATTTTGTTTCGAGAAATGAGTCAAAAACAGTTTTTAGTCTGTAATGGGATTATACCGGTTAATACCAGATTATAAGACCATATCAGAAACTACGTCATTTTAGCATAAAAGATGCGATGACAGCTATAGAACCGATTGAAGTAGTAGTACAGTTTACTTTCAACAATATCAACTTGTAAATCGTAAGATTTTACTACAAATACAGTTTTTTGTAGCAAATTTCAGTTAGGCTGAAGCTAATTTTTGATAATGTCCAGAAATGCCAAAGGCCAAGAAGATTAGCCACCAAAGCAAAGCAAGGATATGCTAATTGTAAATATAATGTATATAATTAGTTGATTCTTATTCTCGCAAATTTTGGCCGTTTCAAATCAAAACGTGTAAAATCATAAACTAAACTAATACAAGAGAAAGAAATAGAGTGATCCCGAGAAAAGATACTAGGGAGAAAGAAGCAGAAAACCGAGAATCAACATGAGGGATCCAAAGGATGGACTTTAATACTTAATCAATATGAAAACTGCCGGTGAGCATATTTATTGAATATATTGCTTATTGGTCCTTCACATTGGCAATCCAAAGACATATTATTTTGTATCTTACGGCATGCTTCAATCAACTCTCACTCGACACGATCGTATTTAATAAAACTCATTTGATGTGAACTGTCATCAACTCCAACAATCCAATTAAGAATAAAAAATCTTTTGAGCACAATAACTTTTGTTGTGAACTTTGTATCTTTTCAAAACTTTACTAAATACCTAGATCTACAAACAATCTTTCCAATGATATAAAAATCGAAAAATCATTAAAATGTGTCGATTTTGGTTACGCTGATACCTTAAGACAGCAACAACGTCATAATATTATATCACATTTTTAATTTCTATATAGTATGTATAACGAACAGGAGTGCTTTATCAGGAGATATAGACACGAGGCCGAAGGCCGAGTATCTAAATATCCTCGATAAAGCACGAGTGCGAGTTTTTTATACTACTTCTAGAACTCCAACATCCAGAAATTGTTATCATTTTAGAAAAAAAGCTAACGACCTATGCTTTTGTTGGGTTGAGATAAGGCGCTGATGACCAGTTCTTTATATCTGATATAGAACTGATTAATAAAACATCTGTGCTTTATCGGGATATAAAGGCCCAACATGTGATGCTCACTGGACTAATAGCTCATGAATTATTAATGAGATCTAGCCCATAAATGATGGAAAATCTCTGTATCAAACCTTTTTTGTAGGTTTGTGATATTGCTATCAACTGGGCTGGTGGACTTCATCATGCCAAGAAATGTGAGGTAAGCTAACTTGATTTACTTAAATATATTATACTATTGATCATTTTCAATCATGAGATTTAAAAGATAAAAGACCAGCAGCCATGTTGGGTAAATAAGATACTATTAATGAGAAATCCCTTGTTGAAGCTTATCCAAGATGGCCGCTGTGACAAAAACTAATAAAAACAAAGATTGCAAATAAAACACTAGTGTCATATCAGATTCCAGGGGGGGACTCACCTCTAAGAAAAAAAGGGCGGGTGTCCTCGTTGTCCCTTTTAGGGTTTGAAATCAGTGCTTTGGTCCCGCTTAGGGTGATAATGACGAGAATTTCCAGCAACTGAGTTCTGTGGTCCCATTTAGGGTACATTCAGTCACTGCCATTAAGACAACCCACCAAAAGCAACCTTACATGTACTAGGTAAACAAGGCAGCAAGTACTTGCTTATGCAACAGATGTATACACTATTCACGTTAGGAATGCTTAGACATTCAGGAAATTCTATATAATGACTTGGTTTGCAGAGGACATGGATGATATTTGTGTACACCAAACAAAAAATATCATTAGCTTTATTATGCATAATTATGTTATTATGTAATATAAAAGTGTAGTTATCATATTGATAATGCATTCCTTTAAATACATGCAGATATATTAACAAAAATTACAATTAATTATTARTTTATGATATTAAATTTTAAATAACAGTTCTCCCTATTTAAGTGTACCCCCATTCAGTGTCCAAACTCTTTTTACCATGCATTGCATTCCTGTATGTATCTGTAGAGTGTTTTTTTCACTTTCCCTGATAATGAGTGATTGATCTAGAGTTTTGAATCACATCTTGTTGTAGGCTTCAGGCTTCTGCTATGTGAATGACATTGTTGTTGCCATTCTTGAACTTTTAAAGTGAGTAGCAAAATGTTTAAGTAATATATAGTTTGTCTTTTCATGTATAAGACTATGTTATCTGTTGATTTGGAGGGTCGTTTGGAACATATTATGAAATGTTTCAGTGTGTGAATACTAACAGATGATAACCTGACTGTTTAGATATCACAATAGAGTTCTGTATGTTGATATTGATATTCACCATGGTGATGGAGTACAGGAGGCCTTCTACTTGACAGATCGAGTCATGACAGTTTCATTCCACAAGTTTGGCAACCAGTTCTTCCCTGGGACAGGTAATAGGCATAAAACACCTGCAGTAGATTTGACTGTACAATAGATGTTCAATAGAATTTAACTAACAGAACAGTAAAATAACCAATACAATTTAACTGTTCAAACAGTGCAGACAGTAACACAAAAATCTTCAAAACATGACCATGAAAATATACATTTGATATAGATTGAGGTCAGTCAGGAACTAAAGGAGATTGAAGCATGTGGCATGCTTTTAAAGTATAAAATATCCAAACAAATGTTTTGGTAGTTCTAATTAAAAGAAGACATTTTTATGACGGATTAAAAAGTATTCTTTCTCAGATTTTTAGAGAATATTTCTTTATTTGTATTTTGTGCAATTTATATGTCACAGATTTAATGGATTATGACCAGTAGTTTTAAGGGAGAAATCAAAAGAGAAGCGTGAGACAAAAGAAATGATTGTTTATTCTCCCAATGAGTTTCTCGGTCGAGAATGACTGCATCAATTTGATAAAGGTTGTGGTTTAATAGATTTTTTATAAAAACTTTCAGAAGATAAAATGATCGGAAGCAAATTATGGGAAATTTACAAAATAACCACTTAATACAGGGTGATCAGAAGACTGCTTAACTACAGAGCAGCACGTAAAAAGTGTAATTGTGCACAGTTGATATATTCACATACTTATATCTTGCTGATTACCCAATCACCATTAGAATTGTGCTATCTTATCTGAATGCTAATTGGATTGATGTATGTATGTGAATGCATTGTCACTTGTGTTTGGGACTGCAAAATATAAAAAGTAATAATGTTTCAATTTTTAGGTGACATGTATGAAATAGGTGTTGACAATGGTAAAATGTACTCCATTAATGTACCCCTTAAAGATGGCATTGATGATCAAAGTAAGTAGTAGAATATTTCTGGATATGAATATCAAGAATGACATATTAGTTCCTTTTTTATATGAATTGACAAAAAGATTCAGAGGTTTGTTCTTGGTCACTGTCACTGACTTACGGCTCACAAATCCATCTTTCTAACTGGATACAAATTGGTGTATTCATGGTATCATTTGTTCTTTGGATTGAATGGGGTTAACTGAGTGTTTTATCTCACGTCATATGTCAAGTGTATGCCAAAATGAACCAAAAGAAAATCTGAAGAGAGGAGAGCCATGTTTTATAGACCAACTTTCATATTTTGTAAATTCCAGATATCAGTTTTAGTTCTATTAGACTTGAGGACATTGTGTGAAAGCATTTTTTCAAATATACCAGTTTTAAGAATTGTTGTTTATGCAGGACAAAATGGCATGATTTCTATTCCAATTATATGCAATAGCTTGATCCTTCACCATAATCTACATGTACTGAAAAGCTCCACATTTCAAATCCAGCATTTTGATTGACTACAGAACTGTGGTCTATTCATGATAGACCATGGTCACATCCATTGATAAAATGTAAAGAAAAATTTGTTCTTTTTGTTCTTTTTGTAAAATTTTGGGGGAGGGGAAATCCCCCATATTTAGGGTCGCAGTCCACTAGACGTCTAATTGTTTATTATAAAGTTTATATCTATTAACTAATGTTTGTTGCTACCTAGACTATGAGTATCTATTTAAGCCTATTATCAATATGGTGATGGACCACTACAGACCAAGTGCCATTGTATTACAGGTACATTGCTATGTGAATTGCCCATTCCGAAATTCAAAAAGGGACTGGTGACTAGTCACAAACTCAATACGGTTTGAAGCAATCAAAAAACAGATACCAGGACAAGATAGAGCACACTAAAATTAGTAAAGCTGCTGAGTTTGAGAGTATTCAGATTAATAATTACAGAGTTTCAAGCGTTTAAAACTCGAAAAAATTACAAAGAATGTAATGTGATAGTACTGCATTCTATCTTATTTTTGCAAATTTGAAAAAAATCCTACTCTGTGATTATTCAACCAAATATGCTCAAACTTGACAAGAACTCTTATTTGTGTGGTCTTTCATGTGGTGAGGTTCAGTTTTCGACGAATGTATTATTTTCACACTCGTTCCCAGTCTCCTTTTGAATTTCGGAATGGCCAATTGCTCTGCATATTTTACTACATAACACTGCATGACACTTCTGTTGATTAATAATAATTATGATTTCACATAATGCCAAATGCAATTCAATCTTTTTCTTGTATTTTTTTAATGTCCATGAATTAATTGAATATTATTATGATAATCATATTCTTATTGTGGTGATTTTCCTGGTCGTAATTGACTGTGGGCTGTCTTAATCTCAATGTTACTGTTAACTTGTTTTAGTGTGGTGCTGACTCCCTTGGCTGTGACCGACTGGGTTGCTTTAATCTTAGCATTAAAGGACATGGGTAGGTAGCACATATTCAACTATAATTGAAGAAAGACACAAAATGCTTAAGTTTGCAATAGGTAGTCGCATACATTGTAATATTTCATCATTAATGAGTTTATTGATTAGAGGAATGCTTGTAAGGTGACTTATATTAGAGTTCAATGGGATGTTGTGTCATTCTTGTCTGTAGTGAATGTGTCAAGTTCATGAAGTCTTTCAATCTTCCTATGTTAGTCCTTGGTGGAGGGGGATACACAATCAGGAATGTTGCAAGATGCTGGTGAGATAATACACTTCCTGTCATTAGTTTTGTACACTGTACTTGCCCGCATGAGAGCTAGCATTACGAAATGTATGCATGCAAGTTAGTATATTGTGATGTATCTATGCTGCCTGCACATGATGTCAAAGCATTGACAAAAAGCATCAATATTTATGTACAATGAATAGTATTTTGCGTTTAACATTTTATGTATTTTTTATAAATTGTAAAAAGAGAAAAATTCCTGAGAACTTTTGATAAATTGATGACCTCAAAAGATTTAGATATTAAACTAATGTAATACATACATTCAATTCTTGATTGGAAGACTAAACATTGTGTTTGTTTAGGGCATATGAGACGTCACTACTACTTGACAAGGAGGTATCAAGTGAAATCCCTTACAATGGTATGATATTTTAACCCATGTATTTCCAGGGATTGCCTCTTATAATCAGCCAGGAGCACCATTGTTATTTGTTTTTATTTTGGAATGTGCTCAACACTTTTCTCTGATTGGCTGATCATGGTGGTTGTCTGGCTCAGTTTTCAGCTGTCTGGAGTGTGACTTTTTGCGATATTTTGACTTTTGACCGTAAAACGATATTAAACACTAGTACAGGCTAGTAACAAGGTATTGGGATTAGGGATCAGCTTCAGTTTTTAGGCTATTTTGGTATCAGGGATAAGGATTTAGGCTCAGGATCCAGATCAAATTGATTTAACCTGGGATCAAAGGTTTTTCAACTGGGATCGGGATCAATGATTTTTTTAAACGATTATGTAAGGGGATCAGTGATCAAAATGTAYGGAGTTTTGGGATCGGGATCATGTTTTTAGCCTTTTGATCCGGATCAACAGCAAAAAAATGTCTCATTCCTAGCCTGCTAGTGCTTAAAAAAAATGACAGAATTCTTATATTCATTATATGGCTATAATTATTCATCATTGTATCAGGTGTTGAAACTGAATATTTTGTACACTCAGACACTATTTTGTATTCTGTTGTTAGCAATGGGAAGGTATTCTCATTTCACTTCATATTCCATAATTATTTCCTTAATAATATTTTCACTTTGCAAATTGTTGAGCTAAGATTCAGTGAGTCCCACAAATTGTTTGCTATGTTTCCTGACAACTCTTGGTTTACATGTACACCCACTCACGTGGAAATTTGCAAACAAAGTGAATGAAAACCGTTCAAAACTGTAGAGCAATGAACCACTTGCAGTTGATAATAATAAATTGTTTTTATCTTTATTGATTTGAAAATCTTATCTTTTGATAGAATTAGCTCACATGTTATACACCATTTCCATGCATCAACAGATTACCTGGAATACTTTGGACCAGACTTTTCACTTTATCCTGACATTGCCTCAAGGATTGACAACCAAAATACAAAACAGGTAGTATATCAATAATATTGATACATAAGTCATATATTCCAACCAGAGTCAAAAGCTATGACCAAATTTTACAGACAGGTTATAGTTCAAACTCATAGATTTGCATGTAATTGATGTGGTCATGAAAGCATTCTCTATTTCTTGAATGGATAATTTGTAGTAAAAAGCCTCAAACTTGTACATCCTGACATAATTGAACACCAGATCTTATACTGCTTTTCCTTTTATTTCAGTACCTGGATCAGATACGAACTACGGTGTTTGAAAATATCAAAAGTTTAAATGGAGCCCCAAGTATTCAGATGCAAGAAGTTCCGCCGGATTACCTTTGTATAGAGAACAATGAAGACCAGACTGATGCAGACAGCAGACAGCAAGATGRTGATTCCAGGTATTTCTTTGCCTGCTTCTCTTTTGTTCGGTCGCACGTCTGTATCTAGATTACGATATCCATATTGACGTTACGTCCTTAACAAGATACTTTCTCAGTATGTTGGCTTGTATGAAGTCATAAAACAGGTCTCTTCTTGACTGTGTCGCATTCTCTTAATAAACATTTAGTTACATTATTTTCTTCCACTAAGAAAAAGCACTAGATACAAAATACTGTATTCTACTCAACTTAACATGACCGTTGTATACACTCGGGGGGTACTCACTCCCCAACTTGGGTGGGGGTGTGCCGCACGACCCTCAAAACCCTTACCCTATCCCAGACCAATTTTTGTGATTTTACATACCCTACCCCAGACTAGAGGTACAAAGGTACATTATTTTAGCGTTGAAAGCGTGGCCTAGCAGATACGATCACAGGCAGAACTCCACCCTATCCCAGAAAACCACACTATACCCTGTCCTAGATAAAAACGACCCTATCGCAGACAAAACTTCTACCCTATCCTAGACAAAAGGACTACCCTATCCCGGGGGGGACTCCCTAATATAAAAGGGCGGGGGTCCTCGTCGTCCCTTTTAGGGTTTGACTTCAGTGTTTTGGTCCCGCTTAGGGTGATAAAGACAAGAATTCCCACCAACTGAGTTTTGTGATCCCTTTTAGGGCATACGACGACCCTAATCCGTAATTATAAGATCAAAAACAGCCATAACTGCTAATTATATGATTGATCTCAATACRAGCCAAAGGTGTTTGATACTTGTGCAAAAACACAAATAAAATCGGGAAACCAAAATATGATGACCTGTTATTGATTGGTCTCTCTTAGGGGTGAAATTTCAGCACTGCCACGCCCATTATCTCACAATACAGGTCCCTCTTAGGGGTCATTTTCAGAATTTCCGACGAGGACCCCCTCCCTTTTATATTAGGGAGTGTCCCCCCTGGCCCTATCCCAGAGAAATGGGCAAAAAATGATACCCTATCCCAGACTTTGAGCTTCGAAAAAGGGACCCTATCGAGCGGCACATATACTCGTATAGCAAATATATGGGAGTAMCCCCCTCGGGTGTATACAATCATTCCAGAAAACATTGACTACTGAATACTGCATTCCAAGGCCGCAATGCATTGTTATTTTAAAACCTTACGTTAGCTGGGTTAGAAAATTACGATCCTAAAGTTAATTGTTACTGTACTTAGCTTGTACTCTGTCTTCAGTATTCAACGTTTTCTGAAAAAAGCAATAACTACAATCTCGGTTTTATCAGGAATTTGTTTTTACTACAGATTTGCAGATAACGAGTACTATGACGGAGAACAAGATATTGACAAGGATGATTCTCCACTGGACGTATAGCGTCACAAACWCAGCAGTCGACACGTACAAAGCAAGTGCTAAAACCTATAATCTGGGGAATAAAGAAACAGGTGTCTTCGATTTTGACGCCATGACGGACACCCATTACACGGACACCGTCATTATTAAGATCATGATTGAACTTTATTCACTGGATAATCGATGTCCTTAATTTTATACTATTTCAACATTGGAAATTTGATGTTGCTATTGATGATCCTTAAAAACTATTTTCAAACAAGATGCTGTAGTTTCTCTGTACAAATTTTCTACATACTTTGTAAATATAGATTTAATTTACATGGTTAGAAATCGAATATTTAAGGTCCGCCGGTAAATAAAGGATGTCATTGGAGAATTGATAACCGGGGTTAATCGGGGAATCCTCCAATAAACCAAGGTAGTAATATAGACTCCGTATTACAGAAAAATGCCTTTATAGACGTTATAATACAGGTCATGAAATATACAACTAAACATACATAGGCGTACTTATAGTTGTTAGAACGGTCCGTTGTACGTTAGAAAACGAGGTTGGCGACACTGGCAGTTTCCTTATTCGTACTCAAATTTTCAAGGGCATTTGAGAGACGGAACAAGCGTATTTCGCGAGCATCTATGGGTGTAGYTCATGAAACTTAAAGTAAAAAACGCTTTTGTTTGCTTGTACTCGCAAATATTAGTGCGATGTAGGTATGACATATTTCTTGTGTTCAGGTAAAGATTCATAAATAATAAAATACATTCGCTATTTCAGTGTCGTTTGAAGTGCTCATGATGTATACGAAGAATGAGTATATGGCATGCTGTCAAAAAGCAATAGAATGAGGGGTTGGACTGGAGAAGGAAAAGAATCAAATATAGTGGGAAAATACACATATGCACCATACCTTTCCAACCAATCAAAAGGTTTTTGGGGAGGCACGCCTTATGACGTCACAAGACATCTGCTGTACTTTGTTTGGCCCGAGGTTTGATTGACATCGAGTCAATTTGAGAGGGGGTTACATGATGTATGACGTCACACTGTAACTGACAGAAGATGTCGGCAATATCTTTTGGTTTGCCCACTTGTCAGAAGCCCAAAATTCTATANTACGAGACAGTCCTGAGATAGTGGACACGGCGAGTAATCTTCTGAAGATTTTACGTCAACTGCTTATTTTGTTTGTTTGTTTTTGTTTACGATTCTCAGTGATTTGTTGGTAAATTTGATTTTTTTTAAGACAACAGAAAAATATTGAAAGAACCCTAAACTAACTAGAAAATGAAAGATGATAAAGTAGCAACTGATGTAAGACGACAAAAGCGTTGACTACAATATAACAAGAAAACATGATCAAATACCAAATACCTACTCGAGTGMATTCCACAGAACCTTCTATGCTGAAGCACTATTTCCGTCAGCAGCAATTATTCTAACTTGTTTTGTTTCCGGAATTCTCTTCTTGGAAAGTTTTGACTGAAGGTTAAGTGTTGAGAGGTCAACGAGAGCAGATTTAAAAGGCGTAGCGACTGACTAACTTATTTGTCAGATATACAAATTTAAAAAAACTCATACATAATTAATGAGTTATTAGGCCAATAGAATGAGCCTATTTGGTCACATGCATTAACCTTTATATCTGATAAAAAACACTCCTTGTTTATATAGAATACTAATAAGGGTGACCTTTATCAGATATAAAGGTCCATGACCCTAGCAAAGGTCTCAGGTTTAATACCTGATCATTKCAGGATGTCAACCGATTGYATTAAGACAGGCATCASCACTTCTCTTTTACTTTATGCGTATTCAATGTGGGATGACAAGATTGCTTTGTCAAGTGATTCACGCATGATCAGTTTGCCCCATTAGTCTCAAAACTTAATTTTGCGGCAATTTCTCCAAGAATTTTAACGGATTTGAGTTTCAAATTTGTGTTGGAGTTTTTTAAGCCGTTTAAAACACTCGAGATCGTGTATTAAACTATACATATACTTTTCTTTTATCGTTTACTTATCATTTTATTTATAAGTGATTTTTGATGACCCAATGTAATTTTTTAAAAATATTGCTCATTTTTAGAACATTTAATGTGCCGGAATTTTGGTATGCAATATCGCAKTGAATCAGAATATCGAAAAGTTAATCGATTTTGTTWGGGAAGGTACGTTTATTATTGGGGGGAAGGGCTGGTGTTTTCAGTGTAATTTTTCCATAAGAATGTGTGACCCTCCCCAGTAATTCTAAAGCTAAACTTTTGACCCTCCCCTCAAAAKTTCCAAAAATACCGATGACCCTCYCCCACCCCACACACACTAGTCTCAGGCTATACCAAAGTTTGCAGAAAAAGCACGCTATTATTCCCACCAACGGGATGGGCGAAACAAGGCACCTAAAGGTTTGATGAAAAAAGAGTTCACACAGATMGGTGCTTAGTTTCCCCATATTTTTTCAGCATTTCCAATKSAAAGCGAAAAGTCATCCTGTTTTCCTTTTTCTTTTTCCTAAAAAGTGACTCTCAAAATGCYCSAAAGTAATTTGCTTTTTATCTTTCGCAAATCGATTTCCCGGACATGCAAATGTGAAGTAGAAACTATGGCAAAATTGGTCGGAATCCCTGTGCTTTGATTTCGCTCTACTGAGGTTTTTGTCTCATATGATTGGTTTTCTGATATTACCAATTTCCAAGATAAATGTTTGAGGCCAAATTTTGACGTTTCACAAATAATTTGCTAGTTTATTTTTACTTAGAGTATTGCTTTCTTTTGCTGGTACATAGACGCAAGAAGMACGGAAGTACTCATTGTGAAGGGAATGTGCGTACTCACTGGAACCCTATACAGTATATCGGTCAATGAAAAATCGACTCGATGGTATAACACTTTTTCTTAGCTAAACCTAAAAACTAGGATGGCCCTCCCCTAGATAAGCCTTCGAGCGAAGATTTGACCCTCCCCTAAAGCTTGCAAAAATGATATATGACCCTCCCCTCTCCCACACCAGCCCTCCCCCCCAATAATAAACGTACCTTCCCTTAACGGCGGTAAAAAGGAGGAAAATTACCGGTTTCCCGGTAACCCCCTTTAATAGCGTGCGTATGACCCCTAACTCCAACCCACCCTGGCAAAAGMGCTAATGAGGCGGTATATTTTCAGTAAATTGTGGAGTTTTTAAAAACAGTTGTGCAAAATAAAATATAAATTTATTTATTTTATTTTATTTTATTTTTTATTTTATTGTTTGTTAAAACACCGTAGAAAATTATGTGAAAAAACTTGCTGACGTTTCGGACGTTAATCCTTCGTCAGAGATGAAACTAGGCTAAGTAGGAGTTTGTATTATGAAGTAACCGTTTGTCTCGGAGTTGCATGTTAACAGAAAATTTACATTTGTGATAACTGGCTATTTTTTTAAAAAGATTAAAAAAATACTGACCATGTTCTGGTAAGAGCGACACTGATTCCTGACGCTCTTCTTTTAAAATTTTATTTRATTATTATTCGTTGTTTTTCTCTCGAGTTTTCCTAGTGTTTATTGAGTTTCTTTGTCCTCTTTAGCTCTTCTCTATTCAGGTCAATCAGTTGCTGTTGTGTCTGGTCGATTATCAATCTTTTCCTTTTTTTTCTATTCCCTTTCATTTCTTCATTTTCATCTGGCTTGATGTTGTACATGACATTCATGTGGAACCTGTGTGATATCAATCAAATTTTTGGGCATATCTGAGAAGTCATTCTGCTATGTGATGACAGACAAACTAAATTTATTGATTGAATAACGAGAATAAGCATCATCATCTCTGTCTCTCACACACATCTCTGYCCAAAACGGGTGTATGTCGTAGTAGTATGCTCTCAACGTGTTACGTCAAACAAGGTCAAACGCTTTCGATGATCGTAAATTAGTCTTGTAATCGAATAGTCMGACCGTCAAATACAAGCTTTTAAATCATCTCAGAGACGATATCTACTGGTGTAAAGGTAAATTCTGTTTTATATTTACACAATAATAGACAATAACTACATCGAAAGAGTTGCAGAAGAAGGGGGAGAAGAGCCCCTCAGATCGCTGCGTACTTACAACTGTTCACTCGAGTAAAATCGTAAAGGAATATTTTAGACATATATCCACGCGATGATTTTACTTTTGGTTTTGAGCAGGAGGGAATCAATGCAGAAATACTTTACTGTAAATCCACCTAAAGTTACAATCAAATTATGTGAATGTGTCCTCTCTCTTCTTCAGTTAGACTCGCCGTTGTGCATTCTACAAGAAAATGATGACCAAAATTTTCCTTTTCGTTTTTTTATCGACTTTTCCAACGTGCGGTAGGTGTTTATTTTATTCAAATATTATTTCGACAACTTTTAAATTAATGCAGCAAATTATAGTCTGTTATCTTAGTTATAAGTTGTTTATTTTACATTGTTATGTTAGATGTAATTAATCTCAATATGAATAGATATCAAATTCTATCAAATGTCAAGACTGCTATGCTTTGTGTTTTCCCGTCTCAAATATCTGGGGCATTTCCAGTAGCTATTACAAAATATAGGATGGTGATAGTTTTTTTAACGGCGATTGTGCGAAAGGAAAGGCTAGGGATACTTAATAAATGGATAGGAATGATGTGTTGTACATCTGAATCCTCGGTTTTGGTTGTACAATTGTCGCACGTCCGCCATTATCGTCATCCCCCGAACAGCCCTTTAAAATAAAGTCGGGCCTTAAAATGTTGATATCAGCGAAGTAAGAACAAAGAGATTGTTGGATACTCGGAACTTTGAATCACAAACATGAGTATCATCAACATTTCTTGCGTAGATCGAATGCAGATAATGCTCGGGAACTGAAACACCGGTAAKGCACATGACCTTTCTTGGTGTTGCAGCACCATTAATACGCTCTAAGAGCGCTCACATCGAGGTCTCATTAGCCATTTGCTGTTTTAACCATAGTGTGCCACAGGCAACCCAAGCTTTGCATTTGATTTAGTGATATCTATAATGCATGTAAATATGACCTTTTTAAAAGAAAAAAAGAGTAAAGAACATTTGTCTAACCTGATGTGGTGTTGGTTATGAGGCGTAATTTGCCGTGTTTTTCGATATCTCTATACTTGTATCTTGAGTGGTTACTGTTGAGTAGACSACTAACCTCTAGTTATTAAAGATCGCCGCTTTGGAGGCCTAGAAATAAATAAGAAATCGCCCTGTTGTGTATTCAAAGTTTGATATGGTACACATCTATTTCTAGTATGAAAGTGGTACATTGAAAGCAATTTAACTTGGAGTGACCACATCGATAAACTAACCAAAAAAATTGCTTCAGGAATTGGGGCCATTAAGACGAGTGAGACAATTTGTTCCTCAATTAACGATGCATAAAATTTATCACGCCCTCACTTTGACTGCCATTGCGGTACTACTCTACATAATAAATTACAGAAACTACAAAATAGAGCAGCACGTGTCTTGACCCATCAATCTACGATGCCGGTGCTGACAWTTAACATTCTGGGCTGAAAAACCTTAAATTGCCAGCAGCAAATGGCACGTGTAACAATGGTTTACAATTGTCGACATGGGCTTGCTCCCTGGCACTACGGGAGGACAGAGAGAATTAATTTCAGTAGAGAAAATAAATGTTGTCATTTGTAAATTCTCTTATGTTTAGGATATGCTGCAGCTAAGACAGTTTCGACCGTCAAAGTCACGCCAACAGTCACCTTTCGTAAGTAACGCAATGCACAGTCATATTCATGACTTTCCATACTCAGGTTTATCGACCATGAACAGAATACTGAACCGAGGCGTCAAGGAACACTGAGCGCAGATCTTTTCTTTTATGCTGTACCTTGACGCCTCAGTCCAATTTATGGTTTGTTCATGGTCACTAGTTTCTGGAATATTGTGAATAAGATCTCGCTAAACTAACTAGGATACATTGTAGAGTGATCGCACTTAATCCGTGCAACTGTACAAAGTAAATAGTTCTTTATAGTTGTATTTAGTAATCGTGCATGCGGTACGCAAATTAAATTGAATTGATACAAATGAAGCATTCAATGCAGTCTTGCTTCAGGTCACTTGTAGTACAAAGTAATACTAAGTTGACTGGAGGGGCTGACCATTAGACGTTTTGTGAAGGATAAATTTGACAACAAATTTCCAGCAAGGCAAATTTCCACTAGAACGGTCTTAAAATTCTTGTACAGAACCAGAATTTGTTTGGGGGGATAGCGGCTAGAGAAGGCAGGAGGTACTAGAGGGGTCCGATCAGGGTATTCCCCCCGAATAATTTTGAAATCTTTACTCTCGGAAATGTCATTTCCAGACTTTCCAGCGTTTTGAGGCGTTACCCAATACACATTTGTGACCGCTAAAACCACACACACGGTGACACGATATATTCAATAAAATCCAAAAGACTTCTGAAAAAAGCTTTAATTTTAATTATTTACACTCAGTTTTTACACAATCTTAATAGAATGAAAAGTGAAATTTCATAAGGAGGCTTTTCGCTTATTTATTTAAGAAAATTCAAAATGGCGGAAAATTATTGGTCCGCGGTCCCTGACTGAACCAGTCTTCCACGCAACAAAAGTCAAATGGCAAGCCCCTATAAAGTGTCTTTATATGTCTCTCTCACTGAATGTGCCAAACATGGCTTCCTGTATTCTTTCTTGGACTCGAATGTATATTTGTCATATCAAATGTGATTAAGATAATACTGTATGCACATGCTAAAAAGTTTTAGAACATTAGAACACAATCTTTTTTTGCTTCTTTGGACTCGTTACTCGATCCCGTTTCTCTTCCCGTTATGGCGTGCAGGTGTTTAACTATAAGAGCGCTGTCCTAGATGCAAATTAGTCAAATTTTTCTCTTTTTTCGATGTTCTATCTTCATAAATAGCTCGGCTGTTTTCTTCCATTTCAGCATCAACAACTTCATCAACCAATAACAAAGGTGCGTGTAGACTTTCTTTTYGTTCATTTTTTATTCAACAATTTTTTTTTYGTTTTTTACTTGTTTCAATATAACAACAAAGATATTGAGCAGTTTTTGATATTTAAATAATGAATTAATAGTGTTTCGTGCTCTCCAGCTTCATTAAAAGCCTCAAAGCTTAAAGAGMAAGGTAAGCATGGAAAGGCTCTTTTATTTCGAAAATACTCTTTTTGATTTACATGTTTTTTATCCTTTTCAGAGCTCGACAGAATAATAAAACAAAGTAAGTCATATGTAAAGTTAGAAAGAATAATAAGTGAATAGATGGGATTTTACGAGTGCAAAGAATAGGTGGTCCAACTCTGCATAATCAATTTGTATGTGATGGAGCCTAACGCAGCACGAGTTTATTTTCGTTAAGATGTTAAAATTACTACTTATTACATGACATGTACATGAAATATGATGAAATACCTATATCTTGGACATTTTCTACCGAAAGTATGCATGTTCACTTAAACTTCGGCAAGGCAGACATTTTCTACTACAATTCCAGTAACTATGGGATTGCCGCTCCATCTGTGGGACAATTAGCATTCTCTTTCACAAGAGAATAAAATCTTGTCCCATGGGTTAAATCCGCTTTGGCGTCACATGCAAGCAGTCTATTTAGCAAATAGACTGCGGCTTTTTTACGTTAATCTGTACTTAGTAATAGATGACGTCAAAATATAATAAGAACAAAAAAGGACGCCAACGCCAAGTCGAGTGTGTGAGTGTTTTTCGACCAATCCAAGATTACGTAACATAGCAAATATATAATATCATCATAAACTATRATACAGTCCTTTCACGCATTCTCTAAAGAGACAAATATATCGAACACTCATTTTTGTAGGCTATGGTATGTATCTTTTAATAAACGTCTTCKTAGCTTATTCGGAAACACGTTCTTCCGTGAACTGTGTAAATTTTATAATTCTTTTTACGATTACCTGACTGTAAAGCTCTCCTAATTCCAGTCTTTCCAACGGAGAACTGCGGAAAGGAAGAATCACATAAAATACAAAATCAAAGTGGTCGGAGGCGGAAAAAGCGCGTGGTTGGTGGTCAACCTGCTAAAAAAGGACAGTTTCCATGGCAAGTTGCTTTGCTGTTCAAGAAAAGACATTACTGCGGCGGATCGATCATCCATCAGAAGTATATAGTCACTGGTGCACATTGTTTTAGTAAGTGTGCATCATTTGCAAAAAACAATATCACGAGTATCAAGCGCTACATGCCGACTGTATTACTGTTCTGAAAATGCATGACCTCTGATAATATTCTTGTCTTTCTGCATTAACGAAGGAATGGAACCAGAGTTAGTAGAGGAGACCCTAACCCTAACCCTAACCCTAACCTCTACTAACTCTGATGGAACGAAGTTGTTCACGCAGCGAGTTGTCGAGTACATAACGCTGAAAGTAGAATGTTTGCTACTGAAAAAAAGAAATTTAAAATAATCTATTTTCATTAATACTATAGAACGTTTTTTTAAAAAAATCACTCATTATCCTAGATAAATCACTTCGGCACGCAGTGTGGCAATGGTAGGGTATGTACGAATGCTGCACGTGTCAAATAAAATGACATCAAATGTTTTTTAGATCCCTACACGTCCAGTAACCCTGGGGACTGGATCGTTCGAGCTGGGGACCATCGTCTCAATGATAAAGACATAAACGAAGTAGATGCTTATGTAGAAAACATAACAGTTCATGAAAACTACAAGTCGATGTGGTTCGAGGGCATCACAGATACTCCGCCCAAGAATGACATTGGTTAGTATTGTTAGTAACGGACAGAATGAGTTGAAAGAGCGAGTTCGCATTAAGTTTAGTTTAACTGTATTATTGTATAAATAATGAAGATTAATATTATGAAATTAATTTTAAAATGAGTTGTGAGGGCCGCACACTAGTGTATAGAACTACCGTAAAGTAGTGTACGGCGCTCATTACTAATTTTAACTATATGATGCTACTGAAGGACAACTTCCTAATTCTTCGAAATTAATTTTCCCGAGGCAACGATTGTAGTTTTTGATGGATCTAGAGGGATGCAATCACACCTATGAGCTCAAATCACATAGTAGTTCCAAAACAAGAATCAAACGGCTGAGGCCAAAGCGGTGACAAACCTGTGTTTTGATTATTTTGCATTCCCATTCTTATGTTTGATCGAGTATATTGTGTTTTAATTCTAGCTATTGTAAAGCTACGTACACCATTAAACTTTAGCACGTTGCACATCCGGCCAATATGCGTTTTACGGCCACACGTTCGTTTCCAATGGGGAGAAAAGTGTACCGTATCTGGTTGGGGTCACCTTCAGTGGAATGGTAGTCAACCTAACGTCATGAACTATGCACATGTTCCACTCGTGTCCTATAAAGATTGCAACATCGAAAAKGCGTACAACGGGACGATTCACGGGACAGCTTTATGTGCTGGGTATCCTCAGGGTGAAACTGATGCCTGTGAATATGACAGTGGTGGTCCGTTGTCCTGTATGAAATGCAACAAGTACTACTTGACTGGTGTAATTTCGTGGGGTCACCAGTGTGCAAGACCATACAAATACGGTGTGTATGCCAGAATGCAGGTGCTTACTCCATGGCTGGTTGGTAAAATAGCCAAAGACCAATTCAGAGCTGGATGAACCTTTATCATTCTTTAAATATATACACACATACTTTATAGGTGGAAGACTAGGACCTTGAATGGTGGTTAATTGGTTTGCTGAAAGTTAATATTATTATTCTCCTTTCTTTGAAAAATGACATGTAAGACAGTTCTATGATGTATCGACTGGGAGGATTCTGTCATATGCCGTCATTGATAAAGCCCTAACGGATAAACAAACTAAATTCGGGCGAGGACTTGCTCATTCGTGTTACCTCTATATGTACATTTGAGGTAAATAAAAGCTATTTTATAATTAGCTTCCATCGATTAACTGTCGCTTATACGTTCGAATTTCATTTTCTCTTATTGAATCCTCTATATGCACATCAACAAAGAAATGTATAAACTGCCATCAATTTAGTCAAAATACAATATTTGTAGAAAAAAAAGATTGTAGAGTTTCACATTCCTTAATCTCAAAATTCTTGTACGCTATATCATGCAATGATACAATTTTGAAAAGGGACGACCTCCTAAATATAGTTTGGGCCCGGGGGGTACTACCTCCCCAACTTTGGTGGGGGTGTGCCGCACGACTCTCAAAACCCTTACCCTATCCCAGACCATTTTTTTTTTTGATTTTACATACCCTACAAAGGTACATTATTTTAGCGCTGAAAGCGTGGCCTAGCAGATACGATCACAGGCAAAACTCCACCCTACCCCAGACAATGAGACTATACCCTATCCTAGACAAAAAAAACTACCCTATCGCAGACAAAACTACTACCCTAACCCAGACAAATGGGCAAATAATGATACCCTATCCCAGACTTGGAGCTCCGAAAAAGGGACCCTATCCTGCGCTACATACCCGTATAGCAAATATAGGGGACCCTGCATTCACGATGAAGTAACTTTATGTAACTCTCGTCCCGTCCCACCCGAGCCTATATGTTAGTTAAGCCTATGTGCTAGTCCCCCGTGTACAACATCTTCATGATTTCCCTTGTGCCCTGTGGCTCAGCGTTTGACGAAACTGTAGAGATTGAACCAAATATCTACCAGTCCTTAGCGGTATCCAACATCGTTCTCTTAGCTTATATTCGATCAACACCCAGTAGTCGGAAGCCTCTGCCCAGTAGTTTACCGACATTGTGATCCAGGTCTTGCTGTGTGAAATCTATTTTACGGCGAATAAGGCGAAGTAAGGAAGATTAGCCCATAGGAGTTTAGGGGAGATCTACTTGGAACATGCGGCTTGAACCCTCCAAATGCTAWAAGTCAAGAATAACAAGGAAAACTCGCAAGAAACCTGACTAACTTCATACATCTGGAAATGTCCCTTTTGATTCTATATCACACGTAAATTATATGGAAGTTTCGATAACAAGATCTGYGGTGGAATAGATGTGACTGGCCGCTCAAATAAACTCCTTGACCTGCTTGAGCGCAATCTTTCAATATACAATAAAAAAATAAAGGAAACAGCAACATTGGTCTGTGATCAATACATGGTATGTTGTCCGCGCGATTCGAGTGCTAGTTTTTACACCGAAAATGCCAACTCCAAATAATCAAAAAAGCGTCAATTTTTCTCCGAACTAGCCCAAACATTAGAAAAGCCATTTTCAGAAACCGATTAACCCGGCAATGCTTAAAATGGTGGACATTTCATATAAACTTTTAACAAACCTCTACAATTTAACCCATCAGCCCGGTTTTGCCTATCATGATCACGTGACTGTTATTTGTTAACAATCATTGAATTACACAATATAGAAATAAAGGAAAGTTGTAGTGTTTAGAAGGTTATTCCGTGAGAAAGGCCCTTGGAAATAAATTCGTAAAAAAATAATTTCCGATTTCGCTTGGATTTGAACCCACGACCATCCGTACTAACCTATGCTCTACCAGCCGAGATACAAGGTCACACTGGGAACAGGTCGGCGGTGAAATATAGATGTTAGCTTGCGGTAATGGACTTCTAAACCTTTACCGCACTACTTGATTTTCAATGCATTATGGGATCAGTTTCTAGAGAAAGCAAAGGTAAAGAAATCCGCCATGTTTTGTCCAAAMGATATCCTACAATGCATTGCGTATACGGTACAYGACGTAAAGCTTCATGTAAAGGTATGAATACGAGGACCSCATGGCAATATGAGATCCATGATATAGAAATAAAGGAAAGTTATAGTGCTAGGAAGGTTATTCCGTGAGCGGAAAGACCCTTGGAAATATATTCGGAAAAATAATTTCGGAATCATTGAATTAGCCTGTTGGTTTTGCTGCACGCAGACTATCATTGGATTCGACAAGAAGTGAATATATTTTCGCCAATTTGCGTGTAGGTATCTAGGTTTAGTATATGATCACATGGAAATACCATTGTACAAGGGAGTTTGACATTTATTTTTATATTGCTATGGTTACAAGATATTGACGAAACATCTCGTCTTTTGTTAACATACTTTAGACTAAACCTAGCTGTACATGTTTTATACAAGGGTACGATATCTCTATACCTTAGAAAACGTTGGACAACCTACTTGCACCCTCATTTAGGGCCTTACGCCTGATTTTAAAGAGTTTGTGATTTGGTATTCATTGTGATAATATTATTACTCATATCATTGTATATTCTTGAAATACTTTATCGATCTGTATATTAACTGTATATATTCCAAATCACTAATTCTCTAATATCCGATTCTGAATCCCAAAAGAACCAGCGACCTGGTTTCCTGTGATGGTCGTCTTTTTTGCAAAGGGCAGTCGAGGTCCACCACAGGAAAACCAAACAATTATTTTCTTGGATGAAGCCAAAAACAAGGCAACAAGTAGCTTAAACTTGATGAATTTTTGAGATAATTAGCCCTCCTTATTGAGTATGCACGATGATTTAATAATGAGCAGAGACGGCACTCAGCGTCGATGAATTTTAAAGAGTGAAGTGAAGCCTGACAGAATACGAGGAAACAACTGTTGTAAGCGGACAGACATTTTGTTTTTTCAACAAAACACATTTAAGTGCTTATTAAGCTTTACGCGTTGTGTAAATAACACCAGCTAGATGCTCTGTTGACGAAATCATTTACTTATAGTTGACAAAGTTCATGTGAAACCATATGATCGAGTCGAATTACTGAAAATCGGTTTGAATCGGGATAARCAAGTGAAACCAATCAAATTGTTTGTATTGTTCCATTCATTTTAACTATTTTAAAACTGGTATTCACTCTATTTGGGCAGTATTATGTAACCGCCGGTTTGGACGATAGTAGAAAAAGAAAAGTAGGAACCGATTTCAGTAGCGATACTGTCTAAGCTGCATAATATACAAAATATGCTTAGTCGTAATTCCAAGCTCTTAGCTTGATACTCTACAACAGAAACAAGAAGGTATTGAAATATATATATATATATAGTCAATATTTTAACAGATTTTTGTCACCATTTTGATACTTTATAAAAGCTGTTTGGAGGGAATCGATGTACGAAAGCGAGGCGGAATGACGCAACTGGCGTTTCTGCATAGTGAGTCGAATACATAAGAGATGACTATGCAATGACTACATTTATCAACTATTCATGGTTAGTAGTAGTCGTTGGGTTCATCGTGGGCACGAGTCTCGTTGTGTTCAAACCGTTTGGCTTCTTCCTGCATTGATTCTTTGATTTTCAGAATGGCGGCTGAGTCACAATGGTTCTGTGGATCGAGAAATGTTTGAGTTTAGAATACATAATATATAAACACAAACGAACATACAAGTTAAGAAAAAGCTGTAGAAAATTCAAATGATGAATAATGCAACAAAACATCTTTCGATGGGAAATAGGACTTTTTGAACCTAATCCGAAATAGTATTTTAACAAGAACAATCGACTTTTTACGCATATTTTTTTTTTCCATTTTGGTATGAGAAATCACTGAAAAATCTCCAGTAGCTTATCTATCAGACAGGTATACTATATTTCTGGTCCACAGACCCTTGTCATATGTCTGAATAACCACTTTTGATTACCCAACATGTCAAATTTATGCCATGCACATTTTGGATGCTCAACAAACCGACCTTAAGGAAAGTGTTGTCAAAAGCAGAGGGACTGAAATTCCAGGACGAAAAGGTACTCATAAGATTTCATGCACATTTCACTGTTGATAAGAATGTATTGTACGGGACGCTACGTGTGCCACTAGTGCGAAAACGACTAAGTCATAAATACTGATACGCCTACGATATGGAGAGTTCCCTTTACCACTAGATCGAAAAAGAGAATACCACACACAAATACTGGCAGTTCTAAGATACTGCCTGTTACGTGTATTACTCGTGAAAACATAACTCGTGGATAAGACTGTCGTTGAGGGCTTTTTTTACCAAACAGAATAAAATAGAAACTCCTTCGATCGCGTYAAGTTTATCATTGCCAACTTTTGAAAAACGACCCTTCATCATTTCTAATGCCATCACACGAAAACGCCGTTACGTTTAATCTCGCATAATTCCTTTCCATCATGGTAAAAGCCTTTACTTTTAACAACCTCTTTAAACCAAACAGTTTAAACTTTAGGGGATTTGATAGAGTATTCCTAGCATCCAACATGGGCTAAGCACCCTAAAAACTCACTTTAAGGGGTATGCTTTAACTTGGAAAGGTCTGAAAGATGAACAACATAGTATTACTAGAAACCCATGCGATGCATGCATCCACGTACGACTAGAAATATTAGTGGTTATTGTCATATGACTTGGGTCGTAAACCACTGCATCTATACCTAGCCCCAGACCCCAACGCAAGTCTCTGGTTGGAGAAATATAAGCCYCCGATTCGACTATTCGGCAAGATTATCCGTTAGAATATCGCAATATACAAACATCCATATAATTCATATCAGCTTGTCGTTCATCGACACATATCGTACGAACCAAATCCGACTCTTCTGATATTAGCTCCAACCATAGCTCTTATAGGAAGGGTCTGGGTACAAGAATCACTTTCTTCGTCTAGAGGCAGTAATAACCATAACATGGACAACTTAATAATACGACCACACAACAATACGAACACTTACTAACAAACATCATTCACAATACGGCCATCTCGATAACACGACCACATAACAATACGAACACTTACTAACAAACATCATTCACAATACGGCCATCTCGATAACACGACCACACAACAATACGAACAGTTACTGACAAACATCATTCAGAATACGGCCATCTCGATAATACGGCCACACAACAATACACACACTTCTGGCAAATATACTTTACATAATAGATGATATGGACACTCATCAATACCTATCACTTAGGGACCGTTCATTATTTATGGGAGGTGGGGAGGGGGTGGGTGATTAAATAGTAAAAGTAACATTTTTTAGCCCCCCCCCCCCCCCCCCCCCCTACAATATGCGTATTTTTTTCAATGACCCCCCTTATCCTAAATAGAAATACTTCGACCCCCCMMAAAAAATAAAACAACAACAAACACACAAATAACAAAACCAAAACATTCACATACCATCTATGTTCTAAGAAAATATTCCTTCATGTCCGTGCCACTAGACTCTTCCACTACGAGTTGTAGTAAGTTATACATTGAAAATCAGTGTCATTGTTTGTTATCATGTCATCATCTGTCTCTTAACTTAGTTCTATGGACACAGCACTGTATTCATCCTCAGAGTCCACATCACTTATATCACTGTCAGTATCTCTGTTCTCAACAGCTTTGTGCTGTGTGCGCAGTGGTTGTACTTTATGTGTTTATATTGGACCTGCATATGTGACAGGTTATGTGTTTCTTGTTTCTAAACTAAGTACATTATATAACTGTAAAATGTGCTTTGTAGTATTTTCCTTGATTATATATATTTTTTTAAGTCCCCCTTTTATAGCTTAAAAAATATTTCAAGACTCCCCTTTTTAGGCTTAGAGAAATTTCAAGACCACCCAATTAATCMCCCMTCCCCCCTCCCATTAATAATGAACGGTCCCTTACTGACAAACATAATTGACCATACCGGACCTTGATAATACGGCCACACAACAATACGAACACTTACTGACAAACTTCTTTGACAATACAGGCACCTTGATAATACGGCCATACAACAATACGAACACTTACTGACAAAC